CGTCTTCGTACACTGTACCGTGTAAAACCTGGGCTTTCCGGTGCTACAGCAGCACTGTACTCCGCGATCTGTACCCCAGGTGCAGTGGCTCAGAGCGGCATCTACAGTAACGCTGTAGATCGTTCCGTATCAGACTCTAATTTTTTGCAGTGAAGAGATATTTAAAATACGCTGTACTTTACCAGGTGTCTGCATCACGCTCTGTGCACTTTCGTAGTCACACTGTACCACATGCACGCGTGCGGGCGGTTTTGCCTATCCCCGCGTGCATGCGGTACAGTATAACTACGAAAGTGCGCTGCAGCGTGCCGAGTAAGCCACCTGGGTCGATGAATCTTTAAAGTTAGTCATTTAAAATAGCAGCTTAAGTTACCGTATATTCGGGAAAAACATACTAGTAACACGTTGAACAAATGTGTATTGAATTGAAGCATCGGAAAAATATCCTGTGAAAGTGAAAGATTTTCACTCCAAACGCGGTTCCTCGTAAAAGAACCGCACGCATCACTTGGTGCAATCTCAACCCACAATAATGACTGACACATGTCATATCTCACGAGTTGAGCGTTTAAAGTGAAAATAATGTGCCACGTCACCCGCCGCGCTTTGTGGCTTGGCGATGACACACACCTGGCCCTAGCGGCCCTGCGGGCGGCTGAGGGTGCTCAATAAGCCCCGGGAGCCGGTCGATGGCCGCGGCCCACTCGCTACGCCGGGATTCCCGCGCTCATGAAAATTCACCTGCGCAGCTCAATCCCTCTCGCCCCACCACCACGGCCACCCTCGGGTGCGCGGCCAGGCGTCAGTCCTCCGCCCCACCCGCGGGGGAGGCCCAGAGGCCCAATAGTCGACCGAACTGCAGCCCCGCGGAGATTATGCAAATATTCACATTGGCGGTAAACCCCCCGTGCGAAACCCGGTCAGCCAGTCAGCACAGCACCCCACCACCACTACCGAGCCGCAAGCAGGTAGCTACAGCTCGCTGTTTGCAGTTCACCAATTCCGCGCGAGTCGACAGGGCCCAAAATCAACGAGTGAGGATTGGGCACGACGAGTTGACTGCACCCAGAAGAGCGTGTTCTTTGAATCAAACGCACACTGAAATAACAAAGGTGCTAACTCCTGCCTTTAAAAGGCACTAAGCGATTACTAAAACTGCCAAAGACTCTAATTTTTAGCACCTTTCAGTGCCCTGTTTAGTTCCTTTGAAAGGCACTAAACTGAAAAGAGGTTTAGTGCCACAGGAAAGGCACGACTTAGCAACTTTGTTTCACCAATGATTTGTGTTTTAAATCGAGTGCAATGTGCTTGACTGGCACGTAAGTACTTGTGTTCTTGATAGGCTTGAGTTGAAAACAAACGTCGGAGTGAATCAACAACGATTTGTTCTGAAACCATCCTCTTCGCAATTTACATGGAAACCATGTTCTCGTGTGAAGTCTAAAATGAGCTTGGATTAAGCACCGATGAGTACTGGATCAACTCAAGATACAATGCTCTTGATCCAAGAAACACGCTTTTCTGGGTGTGCAAATTTCCCGTTCTCTTGGAGTAAGACTTTATTCCTCGCGTTTGAGATTGACACTATTTTAAGATTTCAAAACAATCGCGTATACGTTGACAACATAAGGAGATGGTAACTATAATTTCACAAAATATAATAAAAATGTTCATTAAACGCGTATAATAAATGGGGAACACAGAACAGTAGAGAATCACCGTAGAATTTCATTGCAGAACAAAGCACAACATCTTGTTTAAAAAAAACGTTAATTTGATTCATCAACTGACCGCATCATTCGCGTACCCCGTACCCCTATTGAATCATAAGGGTTTTGCAGTCGAAGTGAATTCTTTTTGTCAGGCAATATGTGACAGGGAACCCTTAATTTTCTTCCGCCAATAATTGTCGACGGTGCTACAACGGTGATGGATGCAAATTTTACAATTTACTTATGCTGCTTCCAAAAAATACATACTATATCCAGTCATACTCACCTGCCACTAACTCTCAAGTCAAACAGACTGTGATACATTTATTAGCACAGCCCCGTTCGCCCAATTAGTAAAGTAACGTACGATAAGAAGACAACAACATGTCAGTGCGTGTGAAATTTTTTAATCCTGGAACCTCTCGTGGGAAAAAACGCGATGAACGTAGCCGCAAACGAACGAATATACTCCTATTTACGAATCAGTGGTATCGTTTACATTATTCCCCTCGATAATTTCAATAGCATATGGCATGCGTAATACATCTGATTCCCAGCCGAGAAAACACGACGAATTTTCTCTCGCAGAAGTCATGTCATGCATCTCAGTCGTGCAAACAAAACACTCGCACTCACCTAGGTGTGTCTGCGCAATGTTTACATTCGCTGGCGGTCGCGTTGTTGGGCCCGGCGACAAACACCCAAACGGACCAAACTACTTGGCACAGTGCACGCCGAGGTACGTGTTGTCCTGATGAGGTTTCACTTCCACTCGACAGAAACACGGGAGAGAGAGAGAAACAGTCTGTGTGGCTGCACTTTATTGGTGTTGTCCGCGTGCTGGAGCTCGCGGGCGCGGCGCTGCGGCGCGGAGCGGGGCGGCGCGCGCTGGGTGGGGCGTGCACCCTCGGTCCATGCCGGCAGCACACTGCCGCGCCGCCGCTCCGCTCCAGTCCGAGGGAGGGAGGGAGGCCCGGGCACAGCGCACACAGCCGTCCAGCAAGCGCCGCGCGGCGTCTTAATTCGATACACCCCCACCGTGCTGCGGCTGGAGGGGAGGAAGGGGGGATTCGCATGTGATGCTATTGAGGAGGGGGCGGCGGGAGGGGTGAGGAGGCGGGCAGGCGTGGGCGATCATGAATCAGTGATGGCATTTTCTTTAAAAATATACGCAAAAAATATAAGGCCATTAATATGGATTAATTACCAACAGAAAAAAAGGAGTCACACTTTTGAATCCGGTTTGAAAGCGAGAACAATAAGTAGGCATAAGAAAAGAGAAACTTTTGATAAGAAACAAATCATTCATTTACTGAATGGCGAATGGGGAGTTTGAGGTTCAGCAGATGAACTGTCGAAGAAAGGAGCGAATGTGGGAGGTCGAGGAATGTTTTTTGTTGTTGTTTTTTTTTTGGGGGGG